ACATTAAGAAGAGTGGAGATAACTACAAGGAAAACAGTCATTTCTGGAACAAAATAAGAGATAACTGCGACCACAATTACGTTCTTCAAGGAGCTCAGTCACAGTAATTTCAGTTATTTTGGCCACGTTCGAAATTGCTTTTAAACTGGAGGAAACTTCAAAGTAGTAGTTGACTAAGACAGAAAAACACTAGAGGGATAATAATAAACCATAAAGAAACAACGACGGTTAAGGATGGAGAAGACTGATTGACACGGATTACAAACGACGAACTTAAAAAATTTAGGCTAAACTTTTCAGGATGCGCAAAACGTGACGTAGGACCCACAAATATTTCATGTATTGTTTCATACTTTTTTATATTCATGTTTTAACTTTTGCTTTCTTGACTTGATAATCGAAGCAGCGCCAAAACATCGTTGGTTATCAGAGTTTTCCATAGAGTTTTAGAGTGTTTAATTTGTTTAAACATCTTTTATTGTTTAATTTCTTGTTAAAATTGTTTTCATCTTATGAAAATTAAACCACGCAGAAAAAGGGCCAGTGAAAACTTCACGGGAAATATCTTGACCACTTGACGAGAACGACGTTTAACGGTATTCACCAGTCGTGCTAAAAAAGTACCATATCTTTTCTTTCTGTGCGGAAAGTTCTGAGTATAGGCGGAGAAATTAATTAAATTCACTACTCTAGCCCTTAAGCACAACAAAAGACACTCGTATGAGTACCCTTTTGAACATTAAATTTGGTTTTCTAAACAAGCTTAGGGCATAACATCCCACTACGGAATACGGATTCCAAGTCTTTGATCGGCAACAACAACAACAACAAAAATATTATTGCAACTGACAAAAACATCCTTACCTTTTGTAATCAGCTTTACGAGCGACAAGTATCTCCCACCTCAAGGTCCTTGTTTCCTCATGTTTTCATCTAAGAAAATACGGCTCTTAAAAAAAAAACAAAAACAAAAACAAAACAAAACACACCTGATCAAAGGCTGTTCTCTCACACTGTGACGTAAACAAGGGGCGAGAAGCGCGCGTGCTTTTGCGCGCGAGAGAAGGTAACCTCATAGAGATCTGGGTTCGAAACTCCCTTTAAGAAGCGCCAACGGTGCTTGGTGGTCAGTAACGTTAAGATGAAAACAACATGGTGGACTGTAAACAGGTGCGCGGGAAAAACTTTGTTTACCTGGAAACGGACGAATATTGGCTGCAAAAATGTGATTTTTTTCTAAAGGACAAGTAATTCAGTCTTGGTTTGATAATCAAAAGTACGAAAATGGAAAGATCGGTAAATTTCCGTAGCTATGGTCGAGATCGACCGGGCAAGTCGACGGTGCAGAAGTGTGATTGTTAAATAATTTTTTCAGACATTATGACAAGTAATTTGACTTTACACGACTGTCTTCAACAAGTCTCTTTGGAGAAGTACCATGAAAAGTTTTTACAGCGTGGGATTGTGGACGTTGGTGGCTTGCTGTCGCTTACCATGCAAGATTATCCCTCCTTGGGAATTTCATCAATGGCGGACCGGCAGAATCTGTTCTTATTGATTCAAACGATAAAAACAATGCAACCCCAATCCAGCGAGAGACAACTGCGCAGTGGGACAAACAAGGATGGCTTGTTACAGCTAGAGGGTTCAGCAGTGAAGGAAAAAGGTATTAACAGTTAATATGTAAACTTAAAGTAATGGTCTAATATTATGTTGCCCGGTATAACTTTCTGTATGTATGCACTTTAATTAGATCCACCCCCCTCCACTCCTATCTCCCCTTTGTCCTATTTCCCCTTTCATTTCCCCTCCTATCCCCTCCCTTCCCCTCCCATTTCCCCTTCCTTCCCATTCCCCATCCTCTCCTATCCCCCCTCCTCTCCCATTTCTTCACCTTCCATCCCTGTTGAGGAGAGTTTCCAGCATTTGCATTGACTACTATTGACTCATTTTGAAAAGGTTGCTCTCTGATGTCGCACAATGTTTTGGATTTTTGTTTGGGGGTTTGGAAGAAAACTATCATTTTGGGAATAGGGTGTTGATATGAAATGGATTGGCTTGTCACCATGTTTTTATTGCAAGGTCCCAAAAATATCCATACCCACCCTGTAGAAAGTCATTAGAAATTCTGATGGGGTGAAGGTCTCAGGAATTTCCAGAAGGGTGAGGAGCTCACACCAAAATAACCTCCCTTTTTGTTTCATCAGCATTGTACTGTCATGATATGAAACAAACAAATAACAGTAAAAAATTTCAGGGTAAATGATTGATTTAAAGTATAATATTTTACACTACTCAAGATTGGATAATTCCACAAACGTGTTCAACGAATGTTTTTTTATTTCAGACAAGAAGTCGGGTGCAAAGAGACCACTAGAAGCCACAGAAAACAGTCCAGTTGCTGTCAAGATAAAGTCAAAAACACAAAAAAAGACCTCTGGAACTACAAAGTTGTCTTCTATCTCAAGGTATATATTTAACAGCTCTGAGGTCGATGTCAAAACTCCTTACAACATTATCTCTTGTCACTTGGCAAAAGCACTGTCATGTATCCTCATAGAAGAGTGACATATTCTTTAGGACAGTAAATTACTGTATGGTGCAGTATGGACTTGGGCTCAGAAGCCCTGATCTTGACTTGCTGCTTGCAAAGACTATACACTGTAGGTAGAATTGTGGGGGGGTAGGGGTGTGGGGTAGAAGGAGGTAATGTCCAGAGCTCTTCTTCTCAACCAATCTACTTCCTGTCCAGTCTCCAGCCCTATTCTGTACAGACAACCTGTGAAGAATTTTCTGTCCCTGATGCCCCTTATTAAGGGTGGCAAATATTGTACTTGCATGTAGACAATAAGTAATAAGTAAGTCTTGCAAACTTTTGATCCCATCTTGAAATGTTTGAATCCTTTGAGATGAGACACAGTCTCATTTTTTGTGTGTTTTGTAAGTTTCTGTCTAGAGGTCAGCACTCTTGGATTCTCAAACAGTAATCTCGACATCTCAGCAAGTCTGACATTTTACTATTTGTCTACTTTCTCATCATTTGATCCTGTTTTTTTTTTAGATCAGAAGAATCTATAAACACAGCAGGATTTTACAACTATGGAGTTCCTAGCAACAAGCCCAAACAGTCAACACCAATCAAAAGACACCATTCGACATCAGAGCTTGGTCCATCGCATATTCAAGTGTGTGTCCGCAAACGACCACTGAGCCAGGCTGAATTGAATGCCGATGAGGAAGATGTGGTCACAGTTACATCAAGTACTACAATTGAACTTACAGTTCCAAAAGTTGCTGTGGACTTGACAAAATACACTCAAAAGGTTTAATTATTTTTACACTCCAGTGACATCTTTATTTGTCATGTTGGTCATGATAACAGTTGAAAATTTTGAACGTTTTTAGTTATTTAATATACAATGTAGTAACCATTGTTATTGCTGTTTGTTTAAGTATCAGTTTGTGTTTGATGAAGCTTTTGATGAAGGTTGTCATAACAGGGATGTTTATGAGAGAACTGCTCGACCACTCATCAAGACAGTATTCAACAGGTGAATATTCAGTTTTAAATTCTATTAATTCAAGAATTGATACTTAAGAGAGTAATCAATTTAGCACTTAATGACGCGTATCCAAGGGAAACATTGAGGGTCTTGGGGAAACATAACTCACTGTTTCCTGTGGAGCCAGTCATTAAGTGTTTTGTAAGTTACACATGTAACTCTCAAATCAAAAATGGATCAAACTACAAAAAAATTATTTGCTTGAGGCCTGGTGGCACAAACTTGCCACATTTTCAAGAGGTACAACCTGATCACGTGCGAATTGAAAGTTCAAGTTGTTGTTTCCCTAGGGAGTTAGTGTTTATTTAGAGTTTTGACCCATGACGTGAGACATGTTCTCCTCCAATAGGGAAATGTGTTTGAGTTGGGAGGTATAACTGCAATATCTTTTTAATTTTCTCAGCTCGAATAAAACAAAGACTTCTTTTGTACTATGACAGTATAGGAAAAGGTAGACAACACTTCTCTTGAAAAATCACTCCCAACTGAAGATGTTATTGAGTAAATAAAAATGGAGAGCTTTGACATTTTGGCCATCAAAGTTCAGCCTAGTCTGGTTGCAGACCCTCTGTTTTCTCTTAAGGTCATTAAGAGGACAAGAAAACATAAAAACTGCCTAGGAATGAAGAAGTACGAATGCAAGGGAGTAGGGTGTGGGTAAAGAGACAAAAAAAGTGGCGGTGAACTAGGAGTACATGTAAATTCAGGTGGATGTTTTAATTTTAAAATAATTATTTTTTCTCAGGGGTAAGGCAACATGTTTTGCTTATGGTTGCACTGGAAGTGGTAAGACTTTCACAATGCTTGGTAATGAGGAGGTACAAGGAATCTACATACTCGCTGCCAATGAAATATTTACCATCTTACATAATGGAACACACGGTGAAGGGCTTGGTCTGTGGATCAGTTTTTACGAGATTTACTGTGGACAGCTGTTTGACCTTTTAAATGGGAGAGCAAGGTGCAATATCTGATTTTAACCAATATGCAACCTTTGTACCTAGAGTCTTTGTTCCCCTTGATGGGCAGTTCGGAAATGAGTGACCCTGGACAGTTCTTAGTGGAAGTTAAGAAATATCGGACTTCCACTTGAATTGCACCTCTAGCTAGCTGACAAACATGTGGCTCAATCTGCTCATTTCCACTGAAAAAACAATGATCAAAATCGAGCTAGTAACTCTTGAGAGTCATTTTTTTGTCAGGCCTGCATAGTAAGGAATGAAGACTCGAGGAATGATTAACTTAGAATAAATTCAAATTTAAATCTTTGCCAGTTTTGATTTAATATTTGATTGAATTTAAAATAAGCTGGTATTTATTTATAAAATAATAAGACTACAATCTCAAGTCCACACCACCAGTAGTAAGCTAATGGCTTTTGTCCTTTTCTTGCCTGTTGGGCACATGAAGGTTTTTGGGAAAATGTCAAGGGAAATTCAAATTAGAAAGTACTGTTAGACGAGGGTTCCATTAAGGACCAGGCACCAGGCAAATTAAGTGGTTGTGAAGTTGAGTTTGCCCGCCTGGTTTCATTATCTTGAGGAAAGTGTTTCTTGCAAAGATGTTCAGTTCAAAAAGTTTTGCCCACCTGTGAAAACCGGTTGCCCTCCTGCTAAAAACATTAATAAAAAAACAATGTTGTTAGAGATGAAATTCTCAGTATTAGATGTTCAAATATTTAAAATAAGTCAATCATGCTAGTAAGAAAATTTGGGGGTAGGGGGCTGGTTAGAATAAATTTTTGACTAGTACATCATAGTTTAATAGCTTGCCCAAACAGCAAGTCCTAAAATTTGTTCACATCTACACCCTGTCTTTTCTTTAAATTTTTAAGAGCTTTGTCCTTTTGATATAGGTTATTTGCCAGGGAGGATGGTAACCACCAAGTCTGTATTGCTGGGTTAACTGAACAGCGTGTACACAATGTAGAAGAACTGATGGAGGTATATGTACCTGCATGTAGAGTAGATTTTCACCACTTGAAAGATGCTGAGTGAAATATGCGATTCTGGTTGCTTTCAGTTGTTTTCTTTAATCCAAGAGTTAGCTTTATTTCTCAAAATCAAAATTTGTATTTGTGAGTTGGAACTGTCACTTTTAATGTTGACTGCATCAAAGATGCCAGCTTGAAACTATTGAAGTCTTAGAGATTGCCTCTTCTCAGCCTCTAAAAATGTAGTCAAAAATGAGTTCTGCTGGTAATTTCAACCAAATTAAATTAATGTAAATGTGTCAAATATCCAGCAAAATGCCCCCAAGTCAGCCAAAATAAGTGTGACATATGTGTTGTATTTTCAACATTATTCTTCCTATCTGGGAGATTTCCTGACCCATACAGGAGACTGTGAGATTTGGTCTGGCCGGGATAATTCAGAAGGGTTGGCATAGATAATGCACAAGTGCTGAGTAAAAGTTCTTTATCATGACTTCTGTTTCAACTTGTTCCAGATGTATGACATATTTCACTTATTTGTATACAGGTTATAGAATACGGCGGAGGTGTAAGGAGCACTGGTGCTACAGGAGTTAATGCTGACTCATCACGATCACATGCAATTCTACAACTGGAAGTGAAGATGGTAAATACTGGAGATCATTTCGGGAGGTAATATTGACTGTTTGGCAATATTTTCAATGTCACAACTCATTACTTACTTGTAAATGATGTGGTTGTTAGCCGATTTCTACAGTAACTGTAATTATATTATCGTTCAGTGCGTCAGCTCGTGAGAACATATACAGCAGGAACCTTCAAGTCAATTCTCAATTTTATGGACTTATAACTTAAAATGAAATGCTCCTTCAAGATAAGTGTCCTTAGTAACTGTTTATATGCTTCAATGTATGATTAGTTAACTTCTTAATTTACATGTACTTCCATTTATGGACAGATTTTCTTTCATTGACTTGGCTGGATGTGAGCGTGCAGCAGATGTCACTGACACAGACAAGCAGACCCGTGTGGAAGGAGCTGAAATCAATCAGAGTCTGTTAGCAGTATGTAGCACTCAGCTCAATGACTAATTTCTTGCTGTATTTAATAAACAAGAACTTGGCTTTTTATGATCTGAAGGATTTTCAACACAGAGACCAAAATGGCAATTTTATACTCATGGAACATTTGATAGCAAAGATATAAGTGTAGTTTTGAAAATCACATTCTGTGTTTATAAAGTGCTTGGCCCTCCAAAGGTGGTTCTATTAGATTCTTAAATCTATAGCCTTGTTAATATTTAATATCATGGAACTTTTTCATCTTTAGTTAAAGGAATGTATTCGAGCTCTTGACTTGGATTCAAGACACACCCCATTTCGACAGAGCAAACTTACACAGGTATGCAAATACAAAAGTTAAGGCAATTCCGGTCCATGGTTTTTGAATTCAACAGAACTTAAATTGTAATAAACATGGTTTGTTTTCTGCATCTTAAATCTACATTGTATTTTTCAGGTTCTGAAAGATTCATTTGTTGGAAACTGTCAAACATGTATGATTGCCAATATTTCACCCAACAAATCCTGCAGCGAAAACACCCTCAACACTCTACGATATGCTGATAGGTGAGCCAGCTGCTTCAAAAGTACCCATTTCAAAATACTGTCTCTTGACCTTTGATTTTGTTCTTGAACCAATAAAAAATGGATGTAAAAGTGTTTTTATAAGTACCAGGCAAAAATTATTTTAAGAAAACAGAAAAAATGTTTAGGTTCAGAGTTAGGCCAACGTGGGACAATATTATAGCTTGCAGCATTTGTAGTTACAAGTGATACAACTTACATTAAACTGACACAAATTATACACTACCAGGTATTCATGGGCGAAAATAAATAAAGTTTCATGTGAAAAGTCAGCCAACCAGATCTTTACAATTTTAGGGTGAAAGAGTTAAAAAAGGACGCTCCTGTAACACCCACCCCTCGACCACTGACTGTCCCTACAACCATTACTGAGACAGACAGGTTACAATCTGTTAATAACAAGACTAGTGGATTACCCAGATTGGAAATACAGGTAATTCATGATCAACCACTGTCAGTAATGTTATTGTATCTGGTTTATCATCATTATAATTATTAACTGTTCAATACTGTTATTTAAGCTATATTTTAATACCCCTTGGTACAGCTGTATATTTAAATCTCAGTTCTTAAACCATATATATACATGTCTAATTATTTTGATATTGCCTTCATGAATAATACAATTATTATTACCACTTGCACAAGGCAATAAGACTGATGTTAGAATTACACAATTGCTGCTGCCATTTATTCTCTTACCGTTGCATGTACTTCTGTCAATAAGAAAATTAAACATGTCCTTGGTTGTTGAATGTTCCTTTATAAAAAATCCCTGCTCTATCAAATGGCAGTTAATACTTAGAAAATTTATAACCACCACCCCTCCCCTCCCCCTGCACAAAAATGATACATCTGCATGCAGACTAAGTCAAGATCACTAAACATTTTCCCTGCCCCTTTTGTGACAATTAAGTGTATAGAAGTTAATATTCTAAACTGTGTGTAATTTATATATTTGTTTTTCAGCCTGTAAAAGTTGGTACTACCTTGGGTCAACTGAGAAGCTCACCAAGAAAGCTGAAAGTTGTAGACGGTGAACCTAATGAAACCTCAAGATCTAAGACATCATTTACAACTACATCATCTTCCCCTTTAAGTAAAGATTCTATAGCAAAAAGCCACATAGGGAAAGCCTCTGGATTTGTAAATGCTTCTAGTAATACTAGTAGCACTATGAATGCCAAGAAAAGACTAGCAGTACCCCCTCAGGTGCGAAGGCCGCACACTTCACCAGAAGTGGTCTCAGTAAAAAATTGTGGAGCAGCAAATGGAACACCAGGCAGGTTGAGGAAACCAAATTCAAAACATAAGGCTGGGAATGCCTCACAGATGAATTCAAACTTTTTAACTGAAAGTGTGCCTGAAGAAAAACCCAAAATTGTTGTTCAGGAAGATAACGATCACCAAAGTACAGCTGAGGTGTTGGTTGTAACAAGATCTAGAGCAGGCACTGATGATATACTATCAGAAGAAGCTTGGACAGTTTCTGCTCTTAGACAGGGTGATGGACAGCTTGGAAATATCGGCAGATCATCATCTTCTGACAAGAAATCAAAGGAACCTTCCCCGCCATCAAGAAACAATCGCTATGGTGATGGAATCAAAACAAGACTAGCAAAGCTGTTTAATAAAGGAAATTCATTCATGGAAGAACCTAAAGTTATTGAACCTCAGAGAAATCAGGGTGTGAATCATGTTCCTCATTATTTGTCGCTGACAACGAGTGGAAATTACAGGCCAGCTAGGTATTTGCAAATGTTGAGGAATCTATTCAGTGCTTATTATAGTATGGTCCTGCTTATAGCCAGTCGTTTGTCATTTATCAGAGTTTGTTAGAATGGGGTTGGGATAATGTCACTCAGTAATGTATTGACTTACCAAGAGGGCTGGGTAGTGATATAACGTTGGTGTGGACTGTGTGCAATACGTTCTGTGCAGAATGAACCAGGTACATGTACCTCAGATTTCTTACAGTTTAAAAAAATTTAGACAACATTAATGTGTTCTTGATCAATTATGAATAAATTAATTAATCAAACAATTAATTAGTTGAATTATTGAATAATTAATTAAGCTCAGAAACTAACCTAGCCTGTGAACAGGCTCTCTAGACAAGGAGGTGGCGAAGAGAAAGCGGAAAGAAAGAGAATCCCCACCTCCTTCCCCCCTCGGCCATTTCACTCTCAGCCAGTTCCTTCTTGGCCCTTCTAGCCAAGGTCAGACCCTTCCAGCCACGGTCAGACCCTTCCAGCCGGAGCCTGTTCACAGGCTAAAACCAACCAAGTATGATTAGACAACATCAGTTCCTCAATTAACCAATGCTAGGATGTAAAAATAAAATGACTATCACAAAGTTTTGACCATAACATTACTGCTGATTGAACATTTTTAATCTGCCTGCTTTCAGAGATCGTGTTCATCTACCAACTGCTGAGTCAGTGGAAAGTGATGGATCATATTTAAGTCTTGATCAAGAACAGTTTGTGGCTTCTCATCACACACAACTTGCCATGGTAACAGGATTATGTCATGAAGAGATGGTGCTTTTAAAACAAATCAACAATGGACAGAAGGTAAGATGGTAGTGCATATTGGTTAGGGCACAGCTCTTGTAATCTGGGAGGTGCTGTGGCCTAATTGTGGTTAATGTACTGGACTCCAGATTGAGCAGTTTTGGGTTTGAGCCCTGGCTGGAATCATTGTGTTGTGTTCTTGGGCAAGACACTTAACTCTCACAGTGCCTCTCTTTACCCAGCTGTATAAATGGGAAGCAGTGAATTTAATGTTGAGGGGTAACCCTGCAATGGAGTAGCATCTCATCCCGGGGGGGAGTAGAAATACTCCTAGTTGATTCACGCTGCAGAAACACTGGGATAAGCTCTGCCAGTATGGACCACTTGGTCAAATGCAGACTTCACTTTGTAATCTGGAGGTCTCAAGTTCAAGCTATGATGCTATGCTTCATGGTTCTAATTGATTGTTTCTTGTGTGAGCTGTTACACTGGACTGTGGAACAAGTATTGTAGGCTTGAGCTCTGATCAGGGTCTTTGTATTGTATTCCTGGGAGAGACACTATTCTCATGGTACCTCTCTCCACCCAGGTGTATAAATGGGTACTAGCCACTTTGATGTTGGGGATTGCATTGACAGAGGGATCAATTGAGAGACTAACATTCCATCCAGGGAGAAATATATTTTAACTTGTGCCTCTTGTATGCAAAAATGGGGTCTACGTATTTTCACACATTCAAGAATCTAAAGTTAAGGTTATTATTTTACACCTGCAGCATTTTAAAGACTATATGACACAGCTTGATGATATTTTGACCAGGAAGGTGGCTTGTATAGAATCTCTACGAGAAAAGCTATCAAAATATACTGCTCAGTGACTGTTATCAAGGACACCAGTGTTAAAGACGAATGAAAAGTGGACAGGTCTTAATTAGCAGACTACAGTGGAATCCCAATTTTTTGAACCTCCAAGGGAAACAAAAATTGGTTTGAAAAATCGGAGAGTTTGAACAATCGGGGGTAAAATTACAGTGTTCGACTGAAGAGAGGGAATGACTTTTAGTTCAAGTTATTGGAAGGTTTGAAAAAATGAGGGTTCAAGAAATCAAGATTCCCAATGTGTGGTATTTTTGTCTTGTTTTAAAATTCAATTTAAAATAGAATTTTATGTGAAAAACAGTATTTAATATTGAACTGAAATGCGTGACATGTACTTATTTGAAAATAAAATCCGTGTTATCGCTTATATCTTTAATGGTTTCTCTGTCAGTGCGTTCCCTGTCTGCCAATGTATCATATCAAGTTTTGTACTGGCTACTTATCAACTTCCTGCATTTGCCTGAATTAAAGCAAAACATCCATTAAAACCTTTATGGAGATGTTGATGCATGAGAACCATAACTTATTAAATCCCACAGAGCATCCAACCTCCTTCCTCCCAATTCTCTGAGCAGGGCAGGATCAGCTTCTGAACACCTTGTGCCAATGATGTGAAAAATGAGTGTCATTATTACAAGGCAATAAAGATGCCAAACGTTATTGTTATTGATTATTAATCAAAGTATATTGATTCCAGTAATCAAGGTGTTTTTTTTTGTTGACTTGTTAACATTCCAGACCACATTTTTCTCATCAGACAAGTTAGTGTGCACTATTGCTGTATATCTTTTGAGTCTTAAGGTATTTGGTTTGACTGTAGAGTGAGTCAAAACACAAAGTTTTAATGACAAGTGCAAATCAACAGCCATACCACACACTAACTTCATAATGAAATCTACTAGCCAATGTTTCTCTTTCACTGGAACTAGATGTGAACTGCATTTTGCACTTCAATGTGATCAGAGGAAGAGATCTATTGTTTTTGTCGTTTCAGAGTACAAAATAATATCTTCAGTTGGAACATTTGTCTCCAATTTGTGCATTTTTAATTTGTGCTCATTTGCACAATTCTAGTAATGTTCTGCTCCTGACAAACCAGTTGATAAGCTGATAGTTAGGAACCATTCAGAGTGCCTGTTTTTTTCGTGCTTTAATGTGCATCATTGAGTTTATAATGCACACATGAAGTTTGGAGGGCACTCAAGAACCATAGACACCTGTGAGTAGGCTCTTCACAGGGAAAGGGCCTGCTTGCAGTACAGTACAAGAGTTGCTCAAGATGCAGCCGAGAGCCACACTTCTAGAGTACCCTCCAAACTTCTTGTGTGTATCATAACTGGACGATGTACAGCTGAAGGTATGAATCAATATTGTTTTATAACATAACCAATGGAAATGAAAAAGCAAAGTTAACTTTAATCATGCCAGGAATCTGCATCATTAGATTATGATGCAAACTCACTCGCTGGTGTTATGTAAAGAGGAAGCCATAGTAAGGCTTCTTCTTGATGTCGAAGAGAGGTCACGTCACAGTAGAACACCACCTCACAAACCTATTGTTTTCCTTATTCCTTCATCCTTTTGTTTTCTACTGGTTAACATCAACTGAGTCTTCTACACCTTGAGTAAACTTTATAGAGCCCATAGTAAGGAGACTTCCATAACAGTAAAGCTTATGAATCTTCATGGTTGAGATGAAAAATCTTGGACACCGCAAAGAGGTGGCCAGTAGTAAATGCTCAAAATTTAATGTGAATGATGCATGAAAAGCGACTGAAACACCAATTAATGGATCTCAATTCTTTGCGGTGTGTTAAAATTTATGCAACCGCCTTTAAAGTCTGAAAAAACAGCACTCGACTCTCAGTCTGAAAATGCAATTACATTGTTGACACTGCAAAGCTTAAGATCATTTCGTGTTCATTTGATACCGTTTAAAAGTAAAAAAACAAAAAAACAGAACAAAATAACGTTAATAAACTAACTAGTTACATAAAAAATGTTCAGGATAATCAATGCAATCTTATATATTATGGCACGTGCTCTGAGCAGTATCTCTCAGTATGTATCGACATAAAAGTCTCTCACGTTCTTTATTTCATGGTCCACTTCTCGCAAAGCTACTCCTGTAGTATCATGCAACAGTTCACAAGCGCTTTCAACAGTCAACCACTTGAAATCCCGGTGTTCCCTGGAAAGCCTTATTGGAACGTCATAATCCTTCAGTTCTGCAAGCCAGTAAATAACAGTCTTTGGTTTTCCTCGCACTTCATAATTCAAAGTTCTCCGTATATTTTCCATAACGTCCAAACTGTCTCGTTCCAGTCCTGATTCTTCCTCGGTTTCTCGCAGGGCTGTCTCCATGTCTGACTCTCCTGGGTCGACATGACCCTTTGGCGGTGTCCAGTGATGCTTTCCGTAAGATGTTTGTAGCAGAAGATATTCAAAAGGCCCTCTAAAACATTTTCTACGGAAGATGATTAACCCAGCCGCACGAAGCTGCGAGGCCGCCATATTGGATTTGCTGAAGAAGCCGCTGACCTACATGTCCTTGCTGCCTGGTTTCGTTGCCTTGGCGACAGGAAAGAAAGAAGCTAACTCCAGTCAAAAAGTGGCGTTTTTTCTCTGTTTTCTTTCTTTCTTCTAATTCTTTTTTTTTCTATTCTCAACTGACCTGTGCGTATTTGAAAAGTTTCCACATACACTACGTCATTACGGAAAAACACTTTATAAATGAAAATGTATTCAAAAAAAACTAATTAGTTGTCATTAGCAAAGTATGTCGTCACAAAAGATTGTTTTTAAATTAAACAAATTCATCACGATTTACCGCTTTCATTTATTTACAAAATCTTTGACAAAATCTAAGTACAGGTCGGCAACCTTTAAACAAGGATTCTCTTGCAAAGTGCTTGTATACTTTCCTCCCGTAACAGAAAAAAAACCAAACACAGAGGGTTACCATTTTTGATTCACAGTGTGACCTTACAGCCAGTTTTCAGGTATTGCCAGTTCGTGCCATCATCTCTAAGGTGCTTTAACAAACTTTAAGTGAACAACGCTTACTTTATATGCTATGGATACAAGCTGAGAGCCAAGTGCAGTAAGACGACAGAGAGTTGAATCTTTTCAATCGAAAACATGCTTCAAAGGAATCAAGATATATGGAATATACGACAGCTTTGGAATGAAGAATAATTGCGTTTGGAAAGGCCGAGAATCCATTCGGAACTAATTTTTTGTAGCACAGACCGGAGGCGGAAAAGATTTCTTGCGTAATTCTTACAAATGATCGTCGAAATGGGGTTGACTACTTCAAAGGTTACACATGACAACTCTGAAGAAAACTCTGTATCGAGAGACAGCGACCTATTGCCGACTATTCTTCCTCTGGGCAAAACAGTACGAGTGCACTTAGTGCCTAAGTTTTACACTTCAGAAGAAAGAGGTTTCACGAGAAGTTATTATTTATCAATAACGCTTCAAAGAGTTAGGGATTTATACGACGCCACTGTTGGTATTACAGCAAGGGTAGAGTTCCACGAGCGACGACGAAGTCTTTTTGGAAACTCGTCTTTTATTCGTCGCGAACGACTTTCGCGGTCTCATACGGTGACGGTAAATTCAATCGACGGCCCGGACATTGAAGTAAAGCAGGTCACACTGAAAGAAAATGACTCTCTCAGGATCATTGGAGTATTCACGAGGAACTTAATAAGCATTCCAGACTTAACAAGTTGTGATTCTTTTGATCTTATTCTGTGCCCTAGTTTTAGAATAAGAAGCGAGCGTTCAGAGTGGCTCTTGTTAGGAACAATGTACACTAAACACGCGAACTGTAAACATATGCGACATTGGAGGGCTGCTGTCAGAGGTGACTACACATGATTCAGCATTTCTGACACCGATTTTTCACATTTTCTAATAAAACCTATATTAGACATCTAAATGTCAAAGTTGTGTTTTTTATTTTCGTTGAAGACCTTGCCTGCTTTTAACAATTTGGTTGCAAACGATTGCTAAAAATTCGTCTGTTTTTGCGAACTTTTTCGGTGCTCAAAAATGTCCTCCCCCCCCTAATCAAAGATGGGTATAAGTATAGAAATATCGATTTTCAATAACAGAACAATCATATTTCAATACGCTTTTTTTAAATGCTGTATTCCTCGTCAAAACTTCGCTCTTGGCAAATAAGTATCGATATGTAAATATCCTTTCCAGTCAAGCGTATCTTGTTTTAAACTTCGAGGTGAATTGTAAACTAGCGAGGGTTTTGCAGTTGCTTTCCGTGGCAGAAAGTTGTTACAGCTGTTGTCGTTTTATATCACCTCCCGGACTGGACACCACTCTATGAATTCCAGGTGTAACTACAATCGAAAGTTTTCTAAAAGTATGTTTTGCTAATTACATCTACGTTTACATACACGGACGGGTGATTGCATGAACTAGTTCTTATGAAATCTCAAGACGCGTTGTCGACTTTTGATTTCTGAAAATCTCATGAAAAAGTCGTTTCAGAAAAGCTCTTTCCTTGGAAGAATAATCTAGCTGTAATTATTCTATATAATTATCCACCACTTCTATTATTTTATTATCATAGAGATGGGCAGTTCGTTTGTCCTGCATAATGCATTTGACCTCATGGCAAACACAAAGGACCAATGTTTGCTCATTGAAATCGTGACCCTAACTACAAAGTAAAAGAAACAAAGCGACTTGTCTATGATCTAGTATATAAAAGCTTATATCAAAATGAGCCGTTGATATGTCGCCTGAAATACTAAGGCATTTGCTGTCGAATACAAAAGCAATTATTTTTACTGTTGAATTGTGTTCTATTGTTTAAGCCAAGAAACGCGGGCAAATTATTTTTCCTTTTATGAAAAAGTCAGCTTTGCGGTTAGAAGCGGTTATTGTGACGATATTTTATGTCTTACAGGAAGTGTATCGGGCCGTGCATGTAAGCCCTTATGCAGTCCTGTAGCTGTGCCGGCAAGATGGCGCAATCTTGACCGCTCAGGATTACCCACTGTGTCCCGCGAGAAAATGATGTTCTCTATCCCATATAACAGATCCTTTATGTAATAGATCAAAAACGAGTGCGAGTTTTT